TAAAAAATATTAAAATGATTTTTTAAATGACTTTTACTATTTTAAAAATAAAATTAAATTCATTCAAAAAAATCTTTGTATATGTTAAAAATGTATGTGAATAACATAATTTATGCACACAACATTTGTCCTATTTGTTAGTGTGTGACTTTAAGATGAAACCACACTCTCTTATTTCAGAGAACAATTTTTTGGTCTTTACCAAGTTGACATAGTTATAATGATTTTTTTAAGATAGTGATACACGTCTAAATATTTTGTAAATCTCTTATCTTTCAAAGGTATTGAATGGAAGAAATGGGTTAGAAGTAAAAATACGAAAATAGTTGTTAATTAAATTAAGATTTTCCTTTTTCATTTAAAATTTACCTTTCCATAGACCTTCATAACAAATACTAACAAAGACCTTTAGTACAAAATCGAAATACACCTCTGAAAAATGTTCTTTTCTTTAGTCATAGAAATTATTCATTTGCATTGATTCATTAAGACTTCTTGAAAAACCATCATAATAGCTCTTCAATAAAACCGGTATTTATCAGATAAATTCATTACAATTAAATTAACCAATAACATTTAACTTAATAACTCACCATGAAAAAGTATCCCTGATTCATTCTAATCAACTAAATTATTATTAAATGAGAAATATACTCTCAGTAAGACTTAACAAGTATAATTAAGACAGTATTTCAAATAATGTTTGAGGTTTAACTTAAATTAACTAATAAATAATAGTAATACATAAACACCAATAAGTAAATTTCAGTTAATAATAACAAGCAAAATAAATAAAGATAATTAATAAAATAATATCATTTAAACAAGAAAATAAAAATATAACTGTTACAAAATATTTAAATTCATTAGGAATAAGGTACTGTTATGTAAATGGAGATTATAATTAATGATCACATATTCTTTTAAATAGTAATAAGAATAAAAGGAAGTAAATTATAACAAAATAAATTAAAAAAAAAAAGGAAAAAAAAAACAAAATTAATTTAATAAAATGAATATAAAAAAATTTTAATAATAAATAAATTAAAGAAAAAGAAGAAAACATTGAGTTATGAATAAAATTATTATTTATTATTTAATTTTTTAATCTTTCTTAAGATTCTTTTTTTCTTCCTTTTTTTGTTTCTTTGCTTGTTTTTCTCTTTCTTTTTCTTCTTTTCTTCTTTG